TTTAACACTTAATAATAGAGTTATTAAGTACTTAATAACTTGGTCATTTTTCAAAATAATTTTTACGCCCATCACTAGACACAACTAATGTGATTATTAAAATTGTCCTTTTGTTATCCTCTTAATATCAGGCGATACACCCAATGTCCAAAATCATGATTTTGAGTTAATAATATTTCTATATGTAATTCGTCACGAAGATTAATTCTAGCTTAAAAACTATACCCACTTTACTTAATAACATTTTGAGATATTTAAAGAAAATCGCAGTACATATAAGAACTGAAAAATCGGATGTTATACTAAAACAAGTAATGATAAACATAAATGTAACGCGAATTTATTAAATAAATTTACACAAGGAAAAAATATAAATGGATAATTTTGCTATTTATATATCAGTCGTGTCACACAATCGATATATAATAAAATTTATTTAAATTTTTTAAATTTTTACATCTGGTTTTATGCATATAGTTGGATAATTCTAATAATTCTATTAAAATTGTTATTACTATTATGGAATTATTATAAGAAAATTCTTATTCCTATTCAGAATTATTGTGACCAAGACTATTTATTATTATTATGGTAATTACTGTTACATTGGTTTAAATTTTACAAAAATAAGAATCTTATATCCAATACTTTTTCACAACACAAATAATTAAATATATAAAAAATGATTTCTACACATTTATCTGAGAATAGGTTATATGCCTAATTCAATTATCAACAAAAATGAAGAAATAGTTAATGAAACAGAAGTGGAAGAAAGTTATGGAGAAGAAAATGATTCTGAAACAGAAACATTGCCTAAAAAGCAATTAGAAAAATTCAAAAATATTTATAATTATATCTATATATTCATATTTATATTTATATATACACTTCCTGGTCATAAATATAAGGACACTTGCAGATCATCAGAAATAATTGAACAAAGAAACATGAAAAAAAATAAAATTTTTATTAACCTAACCGCATTTGCTTATTAAGTAAAAATTCATTGCCATATCAAATAGTATAGCATACTGAAGTTTTGCTGCATATAAACAACAACTCGTTGTTTTACAAACTTTAAAAAATAAAAATGAATTTTTTGGAATTTTCAAAAAAAT